ATTTTCCTGTAGTAACTAATTTACATGCTGCACCAAAAAAAAAAAAAAAAAAAAAAAAAAAAACTGTAAGAAACAGAAATCAAACAGTGATTCTTCCTAAAATTAATGTAGATTTAAACATAATTAACTCATTTGTTCACAAGTTAGTCCAGATGTAAGTTTTAACATAAATTAGAAACTGCTGTTACCATTACTTACCATGACTTAGAATCATAGAGCCACAAGGTTGGAAACGACCTATAAGATCATCTAGTCCAATCATCTTCTCATTACCACTGCTACCACAAGCACTAACCCATATCTTGTAGCTCCTCATCCAGACACCTCTTGAACACTGCAATGGACGGCGACTCCACCACCTCCCTGGCAGCCATTCCAGTGCCTGATCACTCTCTGAGAGAAATAGTTCTTCCTTATGTCTAACCTAAACTCCTCTGGTACAACTTGCAGCTATTTCCTCAGGTCCTGTTTGTTGCTTGGGAGAAGAGACCAAACCCCTCCTCATCACAACCTCCCTTCAGGAAGTTGTAGAGTGCAATGAGGTCTCCTCTGAGCCTCCTCTCCTCCAGACTAAACAATCCCACCTGCATCAGCCACACAAGTAAGACTTGTGCTCCAGACCCCTCACCAGTTTCACTGCCCTTCTCTGGACATGCTCCAGGGCCTCAATGTCTTTCCTGTAGTGAAGTACTCGAGGTGCAGCCTCACCAGTGCTGAGTACAGGGGGATGATCACCTCCCTGCTCCTGCTGGCCACACTATTTCTAATGCAGGCCAGGATGCCGTTGGCCCTCTTGGCCAGCTGGGCACACTGTCAGCTGATGCTCAGCCGAGCATCAACCAATGCTCCCAGGTCCATTTCCTCTTCACAGTCATTCAGTCACTCATCCCCAAGCCTAAAGCACTGCATAGGGTTATTACGTATTGGACTTATGTAAGTGAAGAAAAAAAAAAAAAAACTAAGTGCTGTATATATGGCAATTGGGGCAAAATGTGAAAAAACAGTTACTCAAGAGAAAGTACTTATATGCAACTGACGTGTTTCTGCCTCATTTATTTTAGAAGTAATTTTAAAGGTAGAATAAGATCTAATATCAAACCACCAGCTGTATGCTATCCTCAAACACCAGGAAGTTTTCCCAAACAAGAATTTCCACTCAAGCAAAAGACAGACATGATCTTCATTCCCAAAATTCATTCAAAATCCTGTTATTCATGCTTAGAAAACTGTAGAAGTCAAGACAGTACATTGCAAAAGGACTGGTAATTTCGGGTACAGGTCTTTGGGTGTACTGCATCTCTTGAAAATCAGAACTGCCATAGAACAGAGTTCAGCACATGTTCTTTGAAGATGTCCCAGAAGTAGAATGATCTAAGATATCATTTCTGAATAATATCTAAGATGACATTTACAAAAATCTTTGCTGCTATCACCCAACAGTAAATGAGCAAACACTGCACCCCACATCACTGTCCCCACATCTTCATGCCCCAGCATTTACCTTACGACAGTGCCACTGAAGATCAGCTACGTAGGATGCCAACAGAAATGTAGACTAAAGCCCCAGATCCAAGTCACTGCCACAACTGATTAATTTTCATATCAAACAACTCCAATTCTAGCCCTGATCTATGAACACAGCTATGTTTAGATCACACTAGCAAACAGTTCTGATGCCCGCCTGAGTTTGAGGCTAAAGGAGAAAGCCAACTTCCTTCTGAATCAGAACACAGGATTATTCATGTGGAGAGCTTCCTTGGAAAAGGATCTAATCTGATCTTCAGCTCAGCACAGCACTAACAATGAATCCTGACCAAGTTGCTCAGGGCTTTGCCTGGAACTTGAAAGCTTCCTAGAACAGGGATTTCACAATCTCTAAGTGCTGTGTTCCAATGTTCAACCTTCCTCATGCTGGAGAAAAAAAAAAAAAAAAAAAATTCTATTTCATGACCACCGATGACAACTCCTTCTTCTGCTATGCAGTTCTAGTAATCCTAGCTCTGCCTTCTTGGTAACTGCTTAGCTACTGAAACACTGACATTAGGTTCCTCCAAAAGACTCCTCTTATCCAGCTGAACTTGCCCAGTTCCCTCGAGCCTCATGAAGTATGTACTCCAGATTGAAATTCAACTGCAAAATTACTAAAATTTTACACGTCTCAAATCTTGCAGGAAACAGCTTGCAGTTAAGAGTAAATAACTGTGTCTTGATAGTATACTTCTACAAAGAAAATGAACAGTCCAAGTGGGAGGAGATGCATTCTGCTGCTAACTGGAAAATCTAAGTAATTGGAAAAAGGAATGTTACTTAGAATGACAGGAGGAAGCCTCTATAAGTTACACCCAGGACTGATATCTGTAACTGCTCAAGAATTGAGAAAAGAATTAATTATTAATGCATTTCAAGAAAAACAGTATGAAAAATAGAACAATATTTCTCAGAACTCCTATGCCATGTCAGTTCCACCTGCCTGGTTACTCTGTCTCAACTGGAATTCGTAAGAGGTGGGAGGAGGGGGCAGAAAAAACAATGAAGCACACCTATAGAGCAGTCAGTGTCATCCAAAACACAGCACATTGTCAAAGTGCATTCTACAAATTGTGTATGTAAAAAAAAACTTATGTAGAATGGTTTTTATTATTTCAATTCTATACCTTTGTGTTAAAATTGCCACAAATCCACTTACCTTTTGACTCTACGGGAAACGATTAACATATTCTTTTGTTCCCAGATGCTTTGGTCTTACACTTACTTTTTTCCTTCCAAAAGACAAGTTGGATCATGAGAAAACCTGAAAATACTTTTTTCATACCCAGGAAAAGAAAGTCATAGCTTACATGAAGAATATATGATTGACTTCCCAAATTCCCAATTGTTTAAATGTGTGTGTTTCACTCTTTCTGGATTAAAAAAAAAAAAAAATAGTGACATGCTTATATTTACCTTTGAAAACTTCATTGAAATCTTACAATTTTGAAGCTAATGAGGTTTGTTTGCTTTGTTTTATTAGAAAAAATACTCAGGCAAGGTCTACAATCATCTGTCAATTATAAATGACTTACAAGAAACTCATGAAGCAATAAAATTAAAAAAATACAAATACAAACTATATCTGAAACACTTCTATTTGGCAATTTTATAACAAATTCATAAAAGAAACAAAGATTGTGGATTATTTTATAGGTACAGAAAAAGCAGTAGGTGAAGTGCTCAAGCAAAAAAAAAAAAAAAACACTGCATTTTTTTTCCAAAAATAAAGTCACATCACAACAGATTTTATGAATAATACCCTTATTAAACAACCATTCCAGAACATCTTATATTAGTGGTGCTTTTAATCTGCACTTTATTTTGCTTGATAAGATTTTTTTTCATGTATATAAGTAATATTTTTAACCCATTGGAGCTAAGCAAGACTCTCATGTCAGTACCAACGCAGAAAGCATTTGTATTGTACTAGGGTACGCTCACTTCCGCAACCAAAGGGTTACTTCTAAGTTTTATTCTATTTAATAAAGATTTAGTGTAAAAACTGCTGGTTATTAGTTTCACTGTAGTAAACTCCTCCCCAACAAGGAGGACTAACTCTGCAGTTTGACTGCATATATCCATATAAATTTTACGCATTAGTTCCTTCCAATAGCAAGGAAAAAAACTAATTTTGTGTTCACTACTAGAAAGGAGCGCCATGAATTAATTATGGGTACTATTCATCCCTCAAAGACTTCTGGGAAGGATGTTCAATGTGTTTTTGTTCTCACAACAGATATTAACAGTAGTATATAGTCCCTTAGGTATGTAAAAGAAGGGTTTTTTATTGTTAAGGAAGGTGCTTTTTTTAAACAATTCTTCTGGCAGCACTAGTGAATTACAATATCCTTCAATATTATTTCTACCGTAATATATACATTTTAACTTTCATGCCTCTAGAAAAACATCTACAGTACATTTCATAATATAAAAATATATTACAAATCTGCTGAAATATTTACAAGCAATGTCCTATTATCTATATGCAACATTTTTGTCTCCATACAAAGACTAACAGGTTAGACACATCTCTATTTGTCAGTTAAAAAAATCCACGGCTTCTTGCTTATTAAGCAAGAAAGTGATTTTACTTTCCTTTTCAAAGCCAACTTTGGTGCATAAAGGATTGAATTTCTAGATATTTTTTTTAAAAATACCATTTTCTTTACAACTAGAAAACATTAGGCCAAATAAAAAAAGTATACTTTACAAGTGAATGGGGTTTCTACAGATTCAAAAAAGTAAAAATAAAACACAAATAACACTAATTGCTTAAGTAAAGGTTTTTCAAAAACCGTCCATTGATATGGATCACAAAAAAAAGATTTCATTAACATACTATACCACTCCTGAAAAGGGGGATCAGACATACTGCAACACTCTTAACATCTTTAAACCGTACTATATGTATTCAGAGTTGAATGGAAAAGACAAGCATTCCATCAACACGTTTCTTGCTTTTTCTTGGTTTTCCTTAAACATTATTCAATACATTTTATGGATCTGCAAAAGGACACGAAGTTACAAATGACAAATGATTACTATCCACCATATTGAAAGGGTGACAGGATAACCCCTTGGTAGCCGTTTCATTGTCTGGCATTTGTTATATTTAGTTCACACTGATAAGAAGCCTAATAGCTTGTTAGCAGTTCTCTTGGGAATTGTGAGTAAATGGCGACGGTTACTTTCTTTTCATCAATATAAACTATTGTATTCACTAAAGAAAAAAAGCAGCTTAAAGAAGAAAGCATGCAAAGCCTTTTAGTTGTTCCACTAAGTTGCCAGAAGAGTGTTTGCTCAATCTCCCACTGTACCATTCCATGAAAATGTGGATATACTTTATCTGGATTTATATTTATTTATACTGGATATATACTGGATATATATTAATATATTCCACAGAAGCATCAACTTCATTCACAGAATGTTTACACTAAGCATAAATATTTATAAAAAAAAAGATGGGATTTGACTAATGTGCAACTTTATTTCTAAATCCATTGTCAGTGACTAAGACTGCAGCTGTCCCCACTCGCTTGGTTTTTACCTCTTCAACCTCTTCTGGGGCATTGTTCTGTAAAAGAAGATAGGATACCTTTCAGAAAAAGATCCTGAAATGTAAATCCAAGTTACCTAGAGCATATTATGGAATCATGACTATAAACAATCATTTAATTTGATTGAGAGCCATTTTATATGATCTCAAATTAGCATACATTTCAGATGATTTCAAAGTTTCTATTAGCATTGACATTTTATCATGATATTAATAGCTGTGATTGAATTCCTCTGACCACCTTTTCCACATGCGATATTTTGGTCTTTGATTTTAGTTCTTTTGTCTCCTAATTGGTCCCAAAGCTTTTTTTAAATCACATCCTGATCTATATTGATAAAAATCTGGTAATTGATAACGTATAGGGACCTCAATTTTATTTGGAAGAGGGAGAAAGGGTTGTCATTTTTTTTTTTCCCCAATGGACTTCACCCCACAGATCATTTTCCAATATTATTCTTTCTTTTCAAATCAAACTAGTAATACATGGAGTTCCGCAAAGTTAATTGATATAAAGACAATTAACACCTAAGTTAGGTTATAAAACAGTCGCCACTTTAAGTGGCTTTAAAATACATAATCCAATTTCCTCATAACATTTTATCATTAACATCATTAACATCAACAATTCATATGCTAATGTAAGTATTTAAAACACTTACATTTAAATACATAGCACATGTAGTATGAGGATTTATTTTCATATTGTAAACCAAGCTTCCATTAATTCGATTAGTGAAATACACTGATAGTAAAGGTGAACTGAAAGGCTTATTGCATACCAAGACCTCAAATTAGCAGTATAGGAACTCTTTCAGACACTTGACCATTGGAAGTTAAAGAAACTCTGGTTGTGAGAAAACAATTGTTTTCTTCCCCCCAGTACCCTCCTCTGTCCCCACCATATACATGCATTTTTAAAATAAACCTATAAAAACATAACATTAGACCTTCAAAAACTTAAGAGACAATTAAGCATTTCAGATTACCTTTATAAACTGTACACACATACAACTGTGGGTACTGACAATTATGTGAGCACATTAATACAGAGGGGGGGAAAAAAAAAAAAAAAAATCAAGAAATTATTAGAAACAAGATGGGTTAAAAGCCAATCAAATCCTACAAACATAAATGTGAATGCAGCTTAAAGACAAGTGACATGTACTGTCCCCCTCTGGCCCCCTTTAAAGAATCTTGTATTTAAAAAAAAAACAGTACTTGTATACAAGTAAGATTTCAAGGTAATACTGCATGTATTACAGCTGAATATAAATTATGTAAAGATAAATTTGGACTTTAAAAAAATTGGTATACAAACCAGCATGTGATCTTAACAGAAGTGATCTTTCAGGATTCCACTGTATGTACCTCCTTTACTAGAATTTCTGTACACCAAGCACAAAAAAGTAAAATACACTTGGTAAATACACACATTCCCCGTTTCTCAGTAACTAGAGTTCAGTTCAAGAACTTCAGTAATTCTGAAACAACTTAAGACCTCAGAACTTAACTACTGGACGCTGACAGGATCAAGGCTCCCTGTTCTGGTGTATAATGCATTAGCAATTCTGATTCCCCAACGTCAAAAAGTTAAGTGAGGCTTAAGATTACACGTAAGTAATGAAAATTTCAAAATTAAGACATTACCTGTATATGTTTGGGTCCAGAAGCAAGGCAGTATCTTTTGGTAGTTTTGATAAATGAACTACTTTAGTTTTTAACTGATGTCGCTCACTTTCATTTACCCACACATCAGGCAGACTATGAATAAATAAATAAAATAAAAAAAATATTCAAAAAAGATCAACTGTTTTTCTTACCATAAAATTATGTGGTAAACTAGTACATATGAAGTTTCTATATGCAATCTCCAATTTCACTGGTTAAAAATCACCTTCACCGGAGCGAAGAAAAGACAGCCAATCTTTACACATTATACTCCAAAGTCTTTCAAGTTCTCAGCATGAAAAAGATACTAAACAGAATTTAGATTAATCCAGAAGAATACTAAACCAAACATACAGTAACAACAGCACTACGTTCTCTATTTTATGGATAGCAGGAACTAAACAAATCTTTAAAAACACTTTATTTCACTAGGTATAAAATTTACTGCAGGCACCCCAGTTTGCTCTAAGTGTCCAAATGCCCCAACTCAGCTGAAGGTCAAGTACCTTCTGAGGAAATTCAGGCAATCACCATAACGTATTTTGGCTACGTAACAGCTCTTAATGCGAGATGGAATAAAACCTTGCACATTAACAGGAAGCACCATCTCAGTACTACTTGCAGCGAAAACTGCTGGAAGAGAGCTAGAGAGAAAGCCTACGCTGATCAACATTTTGCTTTTAACTATTTGAAACCAAACTATTTGCTTCTGAGTGGCTTACTGCATTACTGTATCTTCTACTGAAAGCGAATTGAGTTTTTAAGGCCCTGCTGATCCTGTCAGGTTGTTAAGAGAGAAACTGGACTTACAAATGCTGTAAGTGCCTTACTGAAAACCTACCTCCTAACTCTTTCCAACAGTTAGCACTGACTAAGGCTACATAATCCATACTGCTTTCACAACTGGAAAAAATAAAAACAATAAAATAAACTAGGATTATTTTCAGCCCATATAAAATAGTGGGGTTTTTTCTTTGCTGTTGTTGCTTTGCTTTTTAAGTGATTCAAGAGCAAAAAATTCATTTCAGGTTAGGGAAAAAAAAGTTTGGAATTATGAACTAACATTTTGAAGGAAGTTTCAAATGGAGAAACAAAACACTCAAAACATTTCCTCCCCCTGATGAAAGCTATACATAACTTTACAGACCTTTGCAGTTTATTTTTTCCAGCAATAGAAGTTAGCTGAAATTCAAATTCAATTTTTTGGTATGAGAACTGAGAAGAAACTATCTGAGAAGAAAAAGGAATTTTTCCAAAGATACTGTTTTCACTTTTCAGGTGAAGTTGGAAGTAAATCAACAGCAATCTCTCTACCCAGGTTCAAAACAGCTCATGAATGACGAAAAATACCACAGATGGAGCTTTTTAAATAGAAGATATCAAATATTTTGAACAGAAGCATTTTGAAAACAATTTAATTAGAAACTGTATGCTGAAGAAGCATAATGATATGAACAGCATGTAAAACTTCTCACAGTAAATATCACTGGAGATATGAAGAAAGACAAGAAAAAAACCTCAGAATAAATTCCTGCGCCAAAAAATTCAGTGTTATTTCACTCCTTTATAGGAAATTTGCTAAAGACTGTAATTTAGTTTTCCTGCAAAAATACTTAATGTACAGAAAATCTGGAGCAATTTAATAGTTTCTCCAAACGACTCACAGAAGAAAAGGTTGAATTATTATTATTGGCTTCATCTGAAAGGCTGATTAACAGCTCAGTACAATGGAAAATAATGGTTATGAGTGCATTCAGCTTTTCTCAAGTGTGTACATGCCCTGTGTAAGACAAATGGATGACAACCCACAATATCTTGCCTTTTCTGTTCTTAACTGTAATAATCAGGATGAAATTAAATCTACCAAATAATTCACAACTGTATCACTCAGCAGAGGAAGCACACTACCTAACCCAACCAAAATGCAAGAAATATGAAACACATAATTACTTTGAACTTGTCAACCAGCCCTACAACTATCAGGGATGTACACTAATGAACAACCTGTCTTCTCCAGTGCAGAAAACCTAACATTTGAATACATTTTCGTGAGTTAAAAAAAAGTCTTTTGTCGCAACACTAGGAAACAAAAGTCCCGATTTATTTACTTCTCATGCTCGTAGTGTTATGTTTTTAATACCTTTTCTTCTTAAAATGTAATATTTTGTCTTCATATCTGTAATACTTCAGTGATAGTAATTTCAAAACACTGTTGCATACAGTATAACAAGGTGTCCTAGAAGGCAGCAAAGAACTACACTTTTATACTACAATATTTTAATTATTCTTTTCCAGGTTTAATTGAAACTTGGGATCCACAAGTGCTGCAAAAAGCAGGAACAGCTACAGACATTTTAAAGTTACTAAACTTTGTCTAGGTAATTTATCAGCAATCCTAGTCCTCTACACATGAAAGCTACTACTGACTGACACTGCCAAGTTCACACTACTGCACGACTGATCTGGGACACTACAAAACTGAGTAATTTATATCACTTCAAGGGAGAAAGTAGAGATTACTACACTAAGGCTTTTCATTACCTTCAAACTCAATCACTTAAAAGGCAGCTCTATATTTAAAAAGATTCTTTTGTTCTATATAGTAATTGCAAAAACTACGACTATTCAACTGAATGTTTAAGTTATTGAGTTCCCTTATTAAGTTTTATCAACGCACAGATATCTTCCAACATTACTTTTAAGAATGAACTTCTAAACCTGTGCATCCTACCTAATTATGTAGGTATTTGACTTAATGTGAGCTTAAGCAGACATAATAGATTTTTCCTTCCTGAGTCCATATAACTATATTTACAAAAAATACATATTTTTTTTTCCTTAAAAACTGTATAAAAATGTGGATCATGAAAAACTTGCAAGAGCTACCCTCTGACTCTACTAAAACTGCTTTGCCTACTGGTCTCCTAGAGAATAGTGGAAAGCAATCATTTAGCCTACTCTTCCATATAATAAAGATTATAATATTTACATAAATTCATTCCTTTGTCAAAAGAAAGATATTATCTCAGCTATTTCAAAGAAATATTTACTACTTTGTATGTCCCAAGCCTACCTGAGGGCATTACTTGTGTACTGCATTACATACTCATTTGGAGAAGGACAGAACTTTGGAACAACAAGAGAAAAAGTAATCAAATGTTGGAATAGTGTTCTAAACTTCATTGGGAAAGCCCAAAGAAGCAGTCACAATATCAGATACACTTTCAAGGACCAACTGTGGTTATTTTGCTATTAAACTGTGTCCTCTGTGCAAAGATTTTTGTTCTACCATTGTACTGATGGGTATATATTTATCAGTGCCTGGAAGTATTTGAAGATCGTGGTAAAACAGTGTTAAAAATAAAAAATAAAAAAAGGAAACACTGGTACAATTCTTTTTTTCTTGTGTATATGGCTGGCAAAATTACTCAATTATTAGAAGACCTCTTTATTTATAATATATGATGACAAAATGCATTAAAAAAGTGCAGCTTAAAGTTTACCCCAACTAGTATCAGAATCTACTGTAAACTCCCACTTACATCCTATCATATTACTGGGATTATACTCACATGTCCTCTGGTGTCCAATGAAGCAAGAGTTTTATTTTTCCAGAATCTTCTTTTCTTTTAGCTATTACCTGGTAAGAGTTGAATAATTATTAAAATCAAATTTGTAAATTTATTGTTCAAATAAATTGTTCTTTATTTTCAACTGGACATTCAGAAAACACAAACCTTTAATCCTTCAAAGCTGTATTAATTCTAAGTACAACATGCACATCACTATTCAAGCCACTCTTGTCAAGATTAAATATTTGCACTTATTTTCCTTTAATATTTTCATAATATAAGAAAAAGAATCACATACAGTCTTCCTTTAAAAAGGATTCCAATTTTTAAGTAGCCATTCCAAAAGATTTAAAGTGCATGCATTCTTAGATGAGTTTCACCAACATCCCTTACAAACACACCCACATTTTTTCACAAGATGTCTATAGAAAAGCTATGTCTATGAGAAGCTAATGCAGCTTCTAGTTTAATTCTGGTATGACATAATCTGGAAACATTATACCTGTAACTTCCTAGGTAACCTTTAAGATATCAAAAGGAATGAATAACTAAGTATTGAATAAAGCAAATGCCCCTTAGAAGAATTTACAGTATTACTGAGATTGTTTAATGCATACATAACAGGGACATTGGCATGTTGCTATGACTGTTACACAAATGGCAAGTACTAAGACCTGCTGGCAATCCACAGGACATACATTTGCCCCTGGTAAGGTTCCAGATGAGAAACTGCAAGAAAGGTGCTCTCATTTCTTACACTAGTTCACATACAACAGCACACAAAACACTCTCACAGAGTAACTTTTCTAGGTGCAGGACACTGAAGCTAGACTACCACCTCTAGTCAAGATATAAAGGTAAAAATGCACAAAGTATTAAAAAAGTAATATTTGTACAGAAATGAAATATATTCATCAACAAAGGCATTCAAAAAGGCAGTATCCAGGAAGACAAAGGAAAGCCACTTGCTTCCTCTTCAACTGACTTACCCTCATCTCTTCCTTTGCTCTGCATGTCACAATATGTTACGAAATGTGAGATTTGCTTCAAACACCAGTTTCCCCCACTTTTTGCACCTCTGAGCATAACAATGCTTATCTAATCTTTCAGAGTTTCTACACACAGCCACTGTAGATACGGTAAACTTCTAAGAATTCATTAGAGAAATTTCCAAACATAGAAACGCAGTGGATGGCAAATGAAAAAGGCTATTCGAAAATGTAGCATATGGAACATAAAGTACTTATGTCTATAAACTACAACTACCAAAGTAACTCTCCATAACTGAACATCATGGTATGTTAAACTTAATATACTGTAGTAGCTTAGTAAGGCTAAAGAAGGATGTGTCAGTCCTTCCAAAAGGAAGATTCCCATTATAATTAGGTCTAACTTTAAGATTTGTCAATTAACATATTAGCAATTAATCTTGAAGAGTGGTTGGAAAGTTTGATGACAAATTCTGCTTTTGATGCCATGTGATTTGAATTACAGATAAACTGAAGAAATGCAGCCTGTAAGAATTGCCAGAAGATGCCACATGTGCCACAAAAATTATAAGAGGGCTGAAACAACTCTGCTATGAAGAGAGGCCAGGAGAGCTGGGACTGTTTAGTATAGAGAAGGCTCCAAAGGGACCTTTCTGCAGCCTTCTGATACATAAAGCAGGCCCACAAGAAAGATGGAGAGATATTCTTTACTGGGGTTTGCAGTATTAAGACAAAGGGTAACATTATTTAAAACAATGATAGAGTGGATTTCAATTATAGTGGTGAGGCACTGGAACATACTGTGGCTGCCCCAACCCAGGAAGGTGTTCAAGACCAGGCTGGATGATGGGTCTTTGGGCAACCTGATCTATTTGAAGTTGTCCCTGCCCACACCATCAGAGCTGCAACTATCTGAGCTTCAAATTCCCACCTCAAACCATTTTGTATGTCTGTCACAACAGGATATGTTAAATAAGTGTCAAAAAATATTTTTTTCCTGCTTTTTTTGCCCATTAGACAAAATTTAATCAACTCTTACACCAAAAATATTGTAAGTTTCTTAATTTAGCCACTTGAAATATTGCTACCACTTTTGCTCACAGGTCTCAAGCCACATCCATAACAGGATATGTCTTTTTTCTAAGTTTGGAGCAGAGATGAAAACTGACTTTTTTTTTTTTTAATAACGATTTAGAAAGTGTTTCCCCTATCCTTTCCAACTTCAAGTTTTAGTCTTTGCCCAGTCCCTGGATTCATTTTCTGCTGCAGACTGAAGTACACGAGTCTGGAACCAAATAAAGATAATGTCAGCGCTCACTTTACAGGACAAATGAAGTTCACCAACTTTTCTATTTAAAAAATGTACATTTTCCTGTCCAGTCAAGCTTATTCTCAAGTTACCCTCATGTTTTAAGGAGATGCAGATGGTTTTCTCATGTAATGCAACCATAATGAATACCATATTAAAAAGTTTAGAGGTGGCATTTCAAAATATTGTTTGGACATAGTAAACTAGCTATAACCAGTTAAAGGGAAGAAAGTCTCCACAAGCTGTTCTTCATCCTATCTAAAGCAGAAAGAACAAGAGCTAGAAAATCAACCAGAATATACAAGGTCCCAAGTATATACTGCACCTAAGTTAAAGCTGAAATCGTTGCTTTTACAGGGATTTACCTTGTAACACACAGTGCTTCCAGAGCCTCAAAGAGAACCTGTGTGACCCTCTAAAGCAGCATTCATCTACACTGCCCAACAACCAAAGGCCCAGTTCCTCCTGGAGAAAAGAAGGCTGCAGGGTGACCTCATTGCAGCCTTTCAATACCTAAAGGGAGCCTACAGAGGGGAGGGAAATCAACTCTTTGAAAGGGTTGATAACTGCAGGACAAGGGGAAATGGTTGTAAGTTGAAGGAAGGGAGATTTAGGTCAGACATCAGGGGGAAGTTCTTTACCCAGAGAGTGGTGAGGTGCTGGAACAGGCTGCCCAGAGAGGTTGTGGATGCCCTGTCCTTGGAGGTGTTCAAGGCCAGGTTGGATGGGGCCCTGGGCAGCCTGGTTTAGCATTTAACATGGAGGTTGGTGGCCCTGCATGTGTCAGGGGGGTTGGAGATTCACGATCCTTGAGGTCCCTTCCAACCCTGGTCATTCTGTGATTCTGTGATTCATTTTCAGAAATATACAGTACAAAACTTGAGACTCTTCTTCATTGCAATCATGAAGTTAAAAAAAAAAAAGATGTCTGAAAAACCTTCCTCCCTCCCTCCCCCTTTGCTTCCAATAAAACAAAAAGGACCAAAAAAATAATAGTATAAAACAGACTCGAGTCACAAAATTTTGGGTAATTCAATACAGTCTGAATTATACAATCGCAAGCAGCACTCTTACTCCAGAAGCCTAATAAGATTTTCAAGCAATCAATATTGAAACAGCTTCTCTATGCGCACAAGGAAGCTTAAGAGGAGAAAGTAACTTTCAACAGTAGGGAATACAAACTGTATAGCAAAAGAGCTAATCATATATTTAAAGGCCTACGACAGTCATAGCTTGGGATGCTTTCACTCAGATACACTTGGAACCAATGCAAGTTTTGCAGACTATTTTTCACATCACTGTCTTATCTTGTCCTCTGGAAATCCTCAAAAGCTCAGCAATTCACATGTTTTTGACTGGGATCAAAGATCTTCATCCCTGAAAGGGTACACATCTGTTTTTGTTTAACATTCAAGTACTAAGTCAGCTTTCTGTTCGGAGACAACAGCAATCTGTATATATCCATGCCTTGGTTCTTCCCAAATGTATTTTGAAATTCTCAAGTTTAAAGATGTGTTTTAAAAAGACTTAAAACGTATCCACTACTTTTACCACAATTAGCACAACAAACATTCTACCACTTCCCAGGCAGGCTTGAGTAAGAAATACAGTCATGATACAGACAACGAACATAGACTAAAAAAAGAAAAGAATCACCATTTTGAGCTAAATATCCACAGCATTAAGGCCAAATCCACATGTTACAAGCAAAATGGAAAGACTTAAAGACTTAAAGTTGTTCTGAAGACTTAAAGTCACTTAGTAAATAACTCACTTATGTAATAAATTACATTTCACACTAAAAAGTATAGTTCAACAAATGAACGCATGTACAATACAGCTTCATTTGAACAAAAGAAAATCTTACTAATTACCTACATTTCACACACTGTACCTGGAACAGGAAACATTTCTTTGCATTTATTTCTGTAAAGGAAACCTTTCAAGTTGTCTCAGATCAGAAATGGAGTTCTACTGACCTCTTCTGGAAAAAGAAACAAATGTCTCTCTCCTGCATGTTTATTCACCTATTGTGTTTAAGAGGCTTACAACTTCAAAACACGTGTGAACAAAATCAGCGTATGCCATCACTGAACTAAAATCTCCAAAAAAAGTTAGAAGTATAAAGAACAGTTTAGTACTCAGTTACCTTAGAGAACTAACCCTATCAACAATAAAGACAGAGGGTAACAGGCTAGGTATGTTCTTAAAAAATCTAATACCTGCTCTTTAAGTTGAAGAGAAATTGACTTTTTCCACTTGATAGTGCAAAGAATCAACATACCAAGAATTGGACTGCAATAAGGAAAACTAATCAGAGAAATAAGAACATAATGAAGTCAAAGGCAGACTTCCGCAAAAGGCTTTGATGACTGTTTTACAATTTTACGTCTATGAAGAAGATTTAAAGGTTTCATGAAGAGATACAGTGCCTGCATAGAAAATCTTCGTGTTATTATTTTTTTCAGTAAGGTAACTATCCTGTAAAACACTACACTATGCTGATGTTCTTATAATGAATCAAGAAATAAACCTATAAATTCCTCAGTTTCCAGAAGTCTTATGATCAGATTTTTCACTTTTGAAATTCATGTCCCTGTTAACTATGCATTTTTTCATCTGAAGGTGGACCATGGAAACCACATCCCACTTTTCCACTTCCATCCTTACTTGCACCTGAGGTGACCATTAGCTCAGTATAATAATGTATACCTACAACACGATTGTCTTTCTTATATTAAACAACCTCATCAGTAAAGTTGTTGTCCGGTGCAACTCTGCACAATTGTGCATGTTAATAGGGTGTGCAGTGTGCAGCTGGAATCGTAGAACAGTCCTGCCACATAACAACTCCTATAGCTGAGGTGTAAGTAATATCAAGTTTTCAGACCTAATCAACCCCCCATCATCTTGAGTGGTACAAGCACAGATGAACTGAAAAGCTTTGCAGTACTTCCTCCAAGTTAATTCAGATCAGTTAAAGAGCACATTCCTCCCTTTTATTCCACCTCCTTATGAATTACTGCAACAGCCAGAAGCGAGCGTCCACAACTTAACAGTCTATCTGGATAATGCTGCAGATTAAAGCAAGCTGTGAACTGGAAGACAACCTGCTTTTCTCACAAAGTTTTACATTCAGTCTTGGCCAGGAAAACTAAAATAAGGTTTAAATTCAGCAGCAGCAGAATAAGGCACCTATAAATCTCCCTCCGCAGCTGGTGTGCTCAATGCAGATAAAGTTCAGGACTAACATTTTGGGAAGAACGTCTAACAGGATACAGATTTGTAACTATCATCAGTTTTGTACAAGAGAAGGAAATGCTAAGTTCCATGCATATAAAATCATCTTTTGTTTATGAAAAGAGAATGACAGTTCAATAGTTTAATTGTTGGTTCAAATTAAGTCATAGCTGAAAAGAGAGCAGTCAGCACTCCTTCACTGGACTGCAGTTAATCTTGCACTAGTCTGGCAATTTACAGAGTTCTTCATTTTGTGCTGTTCCTTAATTCTTTTATTCTTAAAGAAGTGTCTCTACCCTCTTATGCACTCCATCTCTCAATTCAGAAACAAAACATGAGGCATTATGCCTTTTGAAATTCTCATCCCTGTATTCAAATTCTCTCTATTTTCAACTTTTCTAAATGAATACTGATGTCAATCTATCCACAGCAGGATACAGAAACAGGACTCAAGGTTACTTCCCCACCTGGTACTTGCCTCCTAGCAATTCAATGGTACTTCATTGGGAAGGTTTTTATTATTATTATTATTATTATTATTTAAAAAAAGAAATGAACAATGCATTTATTTGGTATTCCATCTTTTCAACTTAAAAAAAAAAAAAAATGAATTTCAGATGAACATCTATCAGTTATACAATTATCCTCAAAGTCTTCCTTGCAATAAATACAGTGAATTGTAACTTGAGAAAGTGCCACCAGAATTCATTCTTATTTATAATGTTTTCTGCAACACATACTGCCTGCCAGATATTTCCCCAAGTGTATCAGATGGGGAAACATTGCAAGCTTTTCAATTTGAAACAAAAAACCAACTACTACCAGTATTTTTAAAAAACTTATTTACTAACAGAAGTGAATAAATAACTATTCAAAAGCAATCAATGGTTACCGATTAAAAGCCATATTACAAAGAGGAATACAGCACTACATTTTTCAGAGATGCAGGTAACAAACAGTGAATGAAGTAATACTTACAGTACTGTGAAATACAACACTGTGGCCTTTTCCTAAGCTTTCTATATGCGCTGAGAGGTTAAAGCAGATGGCTCGATGTCTTATAGCATCCAGTGTTTGTGCATCAAAGAAGTCATGAGGTCTTGCTAGAAATAAAAGACATCCTTAGTGTTGAACCTGCTGAAAGCATTCTAACAGATTTGAGCATGTAAATAAATCTGAAGTGTCATTAGTAGACCATTTATCTTTATAAAACTAGGGCTCCTACATCAGAGTTGCAAACAGTAATTTAACTGAGAGAATGGCTTCACTCCACACACAGAGTGGTCACAACATATCCCCTTTAGATGAAGTAGCTATTTTGACAAACTGAATTACACTTGCCCAGTTTTTAACCTTAAAGTGATTTTTTTTCCTTATCTTCCACAATTAAAAATTCATTGTTTTTTCTAAGACCTATTGCTACCATTTCTAAAAAAAATGTAAACACCAAAAAGGTGGCCCAGTGCAAAGGAACGGAAACAAGAACTTTTATTAATGAATTTGAGTTCCTTTTTAATGCTAAAACAGCCCAATAAGTTTCCCATAAACTTTACAACTAACTGGCCAAGGTACCCTTACAGCACAGTCAATTTCAGTATTACTGCAATGACTTTTAAAAGACAGTATTAAAATATTTCAAAACATGATAGTGCACACAGTCAACATGTTAGAAGACACCTTATTTCTAAAGTTTATTACAAACCATTTGCCCTGATCTAATTTCTAATTGCTAAAAAAAGTAATCCAGCTGAATACTGAGATGCTGCAAGGAGAACAAATACTTTGAATAGTTCCTCTGCAAGCAGAATTAAATAAGAATTTGTAGTCTATAAACAGCATGCAGTAGTAAAGTCCTTTTTTATTCTGAAAAGCACTTCTATGGATAAGTCTTGAATACTAAAATACTGAAATCCAATTTGGAGTGTAAAGAAGGTCTATTAACTCTACCCTAAAACCTACTCTAGCCAGAAATAACTGCTACTAAGCACATATTTCTTGTATGCTCTTCAAAATATCTAAGATTTTTAAATATATTCTGTACCATTCCGTAGCAGAACTACATGAGTAATATATTAATAAAAGTATTAAGAGTTACTAAATCTTATGCGAGAGCAGTAATTCAGTATATAACGCTGAAAATAAAACTAAGAATCGTAGTTAAACTACACAATCAACTACATTATCCTATAATCTGCAAAAACAGTTATTTCCAATTTTTCTGTCCTGAATTAAAACAACTTGTACCTTCCCTTTCATCATGATTATCTATCCATTACTTCTAGACAAACTACAAATTCCACTTTAGATTAGTATTTTCTACACTCTGGGGACAAATTGTTGTGAGGTATTCATCTGTACATTATGTTCTGCCCTTATTCTATCTCAGTTGGATACTGCCAATTAGGCAATCATCCTACTGAAATGTTTTGCTGTAAGTGGTAACTTCTCATGCTGCATAAGGTCACTGATGCAAGCATTTCTTATATTGAAACCATTAACCTATCAAGTAAAAAGGAGCAGGGGTCACATTTTTCTGCATGGACTACCACTTCTCTTTCTTCATACAAACTAAAGTTTTCAGGAAAAACAAAAGACTACATGTAGCAACAGACTCAAGAAAAACATAGACTCAAGATTCACATTTCATTATTACTACTAAGATCTAAGCAGTAAAAGGTATGATATATGAAACTTCAAATGTCAAGCATTTTAGAACAGGTATCCCTCCACCCTTTTCTTCTATCCCTGAAAGACAAAAAGCCTATCTTCCTTTGATCTGAAATTGTGAAGATCTCTACAGACAAAATTCAAATGCTGATTTAGGCAGTTTGTTGTACCAAATGTCAGAAACTTTTTTGGAGCTTCACTCATATTTATAAAACAAATGTTTGTGAATTTATAACAAAGATTCGATAATACAAGAAGTTATACGATGTAACATACTTGGTGTAACATATAGTTCATAGAATCCTCTAGGTTGGAAAAGACCATTAAGGTAAGTCTAATCATCATCCTGACCTACCAAATACCATTATGAAACTGTATCCCAGTCATGTCCAAACTACACCTCACAGACAGGCCAGCTAAGCTAGAAATGTGGCTCATCCTGAACACCTCGATGGGTGCACACCTGGGCTGGGGCTGGGCTGCTTTGCTGGGAAGTGCTGTCAGCTTGGCACCAACTAGAATTCTTGACTAAAATTCAGGTAAACAGTATCCACAGCCTTTACCTCACATACTTGGTGGGTCATCTTGTTGTAGAAGGAGATCAGATTACTCAGACAGAGCCTGCCCCTCATAAACACAGGCTAGCAGCTTCTGATCACTTGACTGTCCTATACGTCCCATGTGATCATACTTAGGATAATTTGCCCTGTAACTTCCCCTAACACTTAAACCAGACTGACAGGTCTGTAATTCCCCAGATCCTCCTTCCCTCACTTCCTGCAGATTGAAGTCACGTTTGCTAACTTCCATATAACTGGAACCTTACCAGTTTATCATGACTGCTGATAAACTATTAAAAATGGCAAGGTAAGCACTATGGCCAGGTCCATCACAGCACCTGAATTAATTCTATCCAGCCTCATTGTCTTAGGAACATTCAAACCTTGTAGGAAGGCACATGCAGTTTCTCAGTGGGCTACAGGGACTTCATCAGTCTTCCAACAGAAGGGGTTGGGTAGCCTGAGAACAACTGACCTTACTAACAGAGATTGAAGCAAAAAAGGCATTAAGTAATTCAGCCTTATCCTCATCTTTCATCACAACACTTTCTCTCAGATCCAATAAAGGCCAGAGATTCACTTTAATCTTCTTTTTACTCTTGATGTATTTATAAAAGCATTATCATCTCATCATCTTTCACTCCAATAATCAAATTGAGTTCCACGTGGGTTTTGGCCATTCTAATTTTCTTCCTGCACAGCTTAACAACATCTACAGTCCTCCTGAGATGTCTGCATCTTCTTCCAGAGCTCTTTTTTTTTTTTTTTTTCTTCCTGAGTTGCAGAAGCAGCTCTCTGCTCAGCCAGATTCATCTCCCCTCCTTGCTTGACTTTCAGCACATTGGGTCAGACTGCTTCTGTACTTTCAGGTGTCATCCTATTCTGCCTTCTAAAAATCCAAGGTATCAATACTGTTAATCACCTTACTGACTTCACCAAGGATCAAAATCAGGGATTTCATCATTGTTGTGTCCAAGCTAGCCTCCAACCATCACATCACCCACATCACCCTTCCCTGTTTGCACACACACACACACACACAAGTTCAGTGAGGCATTCTCCCTAATGGGCATCCTCACCACCTGTGTCAGGCAGTCATCCACACACTCCAGGAATCTCAACTGGATTTTTAACAGACATCTGGGAAGTTAAAATGCCCCATGAGAACAATTCTAATGAGCATGAGATTTCCTGTACTTGCTTGTAGAACATTTCCTGCCTTCATCCTGGTTGGGAGGTCTGTAACAGACTCTCACCATACTATCACCGTTACTGGCCTTTACCCCTGAAATAATCAACCCTCTCAGTACCATTACCCAACTCTATGCAGCCACAGTACTCCCTAACACACATGGCTACCCCACTTCATCTCCTTCCCTGTGGTCTCTCCTCAAGAGCACCAAATTCTCCAGGCACATGAATTATCACAGGCCTCAAAGAGGCATGGTGGAAGGATATCACAGCCCTGAGACTTAACTAAAACTTTCAGCTCCTCTTTCTTTTCCAAGCTCTCTGCATTTGCATAGAGGCACTTAAGCAGGGCTCCCAGTGAAACTGTTCTACTGGACAAAATGGCTGGAATTCCTTTGGGCTGCTTTTTGGGTGTTTTCCAGCTGACCAGCCAAATCTATAGGTAAAACACAAAAAACTGATCAATTCAACAAGGCTTAACTGGTCACGTCAAAGCCTTTTCATTTGACCAGCAGAATCAAAGGAGACCATCTGTCCAGAGTCTCTTACAGCTGCTCCAAGGACCCCATAGTCCTCCAAGATATGCCTTGGACCGCCCCTGAGTATTTTGGTGCCCACATGAAATAACAGCTGTGGAGAACAGTGGACTACAGAAGACTCAGTAGTTTCTTGGCAACATATCTAGCCGGCAATAAACCTCTTGAGAGTAGGCCAGGTCAGCAAATGGGCACCTCTGCTTCACAAAGGAAAAAATCTCCTCCTGCTATCATCCACTGCTGTTTCTTGGGTGGACTGATCATGGGAACAGACTATGTTGGTTCATTTAACACCTGCATCTACCCTGACATGACAGGTCCTTCCTCTGAAGTCTAGCAGCTCTGCAAGGGCACTTCATGCAGTGGGGAAAAGCTCTCCCTCCACCTTATCATGCCAAGCTTCCACTCCTCTGTTTTCAGTATCATCTCCTTTGAGGGGAGTTCACTGCAGACCTACCTCTCTCCTCCTCAGCTTTCCTGATACTGTACAGTCTTCTCATCACCTACTGCAGGAGGAGCTCTACCCAGGTACATCTTTCAAAAACAAGTTTACTTCCCATCCATACCTCAAAAGCAAAGTCCAGAGCAGCCACGGAACAAAAAGCCAACAGGGGAGAACAGAAAGTCAATACCAAAATTTTGCTTTTTGTTTTATATAGCAACATTTGTTCAGGATTTAGCCCTAGATAACATTCAATGACTGCAGAGTAAAGGGAACAACTTGTAAAACGCATATGAACAGTTTTATTAATTCTTTATAGAGCATTAATCCCATATTTTCAGCTCCTCTTAAATCTATTAAATATTAAAATAATTTTTGGACCAAGATGTCTCCCTTCTTACTTAATACTATTAAGTTTCACATACACTCCACCTACTTAAGTAAATGAAAATCTTCTGACCAGCAACCTACTAAATGAAACGCTAAGTCTTATGTAACTAATACATTCCCAATGTAAATTTCACCAACAGTAAGTTTCCACATCTCACGTATCTTTCCAGTAAACTTAAACTGTTATGGCTGTTAATAAGTATGTCGTCTTTTCTACTCGAGAAGCAAATACATAAAATCTTAGGTTCTTCAAAAGTCACTGAAGTAGCTTCAGAATAACAATGCTGTATTTCAGAGACACGTTAAATATATTTGGCTTTATATCTCTAAGTGAGTGACTTCCTGCAACAATTAATATGATTAAGGGCATCTAGAAGAGAAAGCAAGCTACTGTGATCCTGAATTATTCTGCAACATCAACATTTGTATGGTAAAAATCAGTCATTTTTTAAACACTAATGTAAACAGCTATGAAGGTGTGCATAGCAAAAACACACTTTTATCATAAAGGCACAAATTTCTAAACTTAAAAGTACACGTTGCTTTACAGATAAAAAAAATACCAAGGTGTTAAGAAAGAAAGAAAAAGATTACATAGTAACAGTCTGAACTCTCTTTTAAGATACAAGATCATATACTTATCACAATAAAGCTACAGTTAAGTTGTTCTTTTTTTTTTCTATTAGCTTGAATGTCTCTCTGAAGGGTGATGAACTTCAGAGATAAATCAAGTCTACAAAAATGAAGGAACTTAATTGTTTTGCTGCATCTGAGCCTTTAATTTCTATGTAGGTATACTTCAGTTTCAGCATGTATTGACAATCAACTGTCAATAAATACTAATCTATTTACACACTGCAAACATTTCAGGGTCCCAAACCACTGAGAGATTCTGACAGCATTTTTTCAGGAGAAAATTACCTGACAGTTTTTTCAACAAATGACTAATTGTGAATTTAATTTAAAAACTGTAGAGTAGTGAAAAGCACCCTGTGTTGTATCTATTTGTCATACCTTAATAACCCCGTTTGCAGACAAAACAGTACAGAAGTAAAGCACCTCTCCTTTTAAAAATACCTAAGTAAAAACGACTTCACTCCTAGCTTCACATACTCTAGACTGGAAATACTTCACCAGCCTATTTTGTTGCTTTGGCATTTCAGGTAAGTCTTCTTGCCCTCTCTTCTTCTAAATCTGAACTGAAGCTAAATTAAGAAACTTCCAGATGAGCAAGTTCACCAAATCAGCGATAATCTTCAGCAAGTTTTAAAGAAAAGCTACCAATATTCAACATTTGCAGAAAATGTCATCAACTTTGGATACATTTCTGGGTCACATACTCCCCAGAGCAATACATTAAACAGTCATTTCCCAATTCTGTTAGAGATGACTTTTGCCTTAAGGCAAAACCATACAGCCACCGCTGTGTTTGTCTCTAGAGGTAACAAGACAAAAAAAACTACTCAAGCAGCTGTCATTTTTCTTTTTGTGCAACACTTGATTAAGAGAACACACTATTCAAGTTCTACAGTCGAGTAAATATTCCTGAAATGTCAAAAACCAATTATACCTCTTTGCCATGGATTCATTCAAAAACTTTCTATTTACTTCCCCCACTACTCCATGAAGATGACTTTGTGCATGCCTGCAGAACAAATTCTGCAGTCTATTCTCGTATTATGACTGGGCCATCTTTTGAAGCCCTAACTACAACTTGAAATTTTAAGTCAATAGCATACATAAATGACAAATAAAATGCCAAACTGCATTCTACTTCTACATATACTGAGGGAGACACTGAATAAGGATGTATTAAATCAGTCAACTAAAAGAACCAATATAGATAATCACACAAACTAAAACACAACTTGCAAATCTCTGAAAGTGAATTAATTTGGAATGATCAGTCTTAGACATCTGTATTTTGTTTGAATAACATAGTCAACAAAACAAAACAATCTTCTGTGAACCTGCACATACTTCAAACAAGCCCTTCCTTACAATTAAGATGAACTAAAAGAATACTGCAAAGTGACCACTTAATTCTTCATCAATCAGCTTTCCCTTTTTGAACCTTCTAATTTATGCAAATTGTTAAAAGTGAAAACTTTTCAAGTCACAGTCTGAGGAAGACAGAAATGACATTCTAACTTCTATGAGCTTTTAATCAGTTTCAAAACTAGAGGAGATCTTGATATTTACATCTAAGATGCATTTAATAATATAATTTGCTTATACATCCTTTGGGAATACCTGAGTCTACCAAGTCTATCATTGCTAGAGGAAATAATTCTCACCTTAAATAACAAATCATACTTCAAATAACATAGGTTCATATTAAATTAAAAAACCTCAACTGCATAGAGAAAGAAAGAATACAGCAAATCAACTCTTCCCAAAACTAAATCTTGGCTACACTCGTTATGTCATTAAGTTAATGAAACGTGCTGTTGTGGATATAAAAATGTCCAGAAATACTTACGTAATGATCGTCGTCTCTTATTCTTTAACTTTCTTCTTTTATTCATTCCAGCTTTAGATGGAGATTCTTCTTTGGCCTTTGGCTGACTGGCAACTTTTGAAGAGTTTTGCTGGCTGAAGTGTGTGGGCACATGACGGGCAAGTCCTCCCTGAGATGCAAAGCTGGCATTGCACCCACCAACCACACACTAATAAGAGAAGAAAATGAAACAACTGCATCAGAGCACTGCATGGCAGTCATTCACAGAGGTTTCTTAGATCTTTCAATTTGCTTCTTCTGGCTCAACCTCCAACACATTAAAAGAAAGAAGAAACTCTTAACAACCATGCAATTCTAAGAACAGAAACAAAAGCATCTCAAATAAATTCCCATTTGAACTTTGCAACTTATAACAGTTATTTCATGGTGCAATCACTTTTTAAAATGCTTTATTATATTCTACAGCGCTGTTCAGAAGAAAATTTATCTTGAATAATGCACTGAATAATTCTTTTCATAGAAAAACACAACAGAAGACCATTTCCCCTAAAGACCACCATTATATCCCCTTGCTTTTTGAAACATAGCACTGTTACTCTGTACTACCCCACAGTTCTACAGTCTCCTGTATTCAATACACTAGCATTCTATAACCTCCCTCTTTCTGTTTACAAAGTAAATTTTTTCAAATAAAAAAAATACATCCATATCCACATGAAATTTGACACAGCACTTTTTTTTATAAATGCTATAAAAGGTCAATCATTATATTTCACTTGTCTAAAACCAACATCAGTAACTGGAAAAATTTATTAACACTACACACGTTTATTTTGGGATGGTATAATTACTTCAGAAGTACTTAACAAAAAGATGCCATTTTCTTTGAAACAGAAAAATAAGATAAGTTCCAATATTGACTAAGAGAAATATAGAAATCACAAGATACATAAGACTAAGCTAGTAATGCCCACAATAACTATTAGTATTTTTGTATTGGGTTTATATTCACATTCAGTAAATCATATAGTTGGAGTGGGAGGCACAAACCTTTTCTTTTGTGCTCTGAGCTTACAAGGGTGAAAGAAAACATAAACATTCCATCATGAGCTGCACAGAAGTGTGCATCATCTCATCCCTCCACTGCAAACTGATGTGGCAGCTGCAACAGCAGTTCAGCAACAAGTAATGGTGCAACTACATACATATTACTAACTTTTCTCTGAGGACTAAAGAAGAATTTGCAAGCTCAAAGTAATCTGTCCCAAGCCTGCACGTTTGACTGAAAGATAAGATGACAGCAGCAGAATACCACTCAGCATGCTTTGTTCCTAACACCCAGCTGCGCTGTTTTCCAACTGTGGCTGTTAAAAAAAAAAACCTGAAAAGTCTATCTCTGCCTCAGACCTAGCAAACTTCTTTGATTATTATAAAAGAGAAATATCGTCTTCATAAAGAGAAATGTTATCCCACTGACTTCATACTTGCTACAGGAATACAAGATTACATGATAATAAAAAACAAGAATAGGAGGATGTTCTTAGTATTTTTATTTACATGATTTTTAGAAAAATTCCTTTAAGCTTGCTACTTTCTGAGCTAACTAAAACCATGTAATTCCCTGACAAAAAGCTTTAGGACAACATATGTGAATCTCCCCATCTCCTCCACTAATAAGCATCTCAAGAGACGTGGTAATCTCTAACAAAAACTTACCACCTTGCTCTGTAATTACCCAAGTTCAAACAACAACAATACTGTACATTTATACTGTAATGACTTACAATAAGAAATCAGAGCACATCCATGTTCAGAACAATACAAAGCATTCTTATCTCATTTACAATATGGGAACTTCAGTGTAACATTACAGCAAATACTGAAGACAAAAAGTTCATCGTATTAGAGATGAACAAACTCAATTCATAGATACAGATAAAATGTGTGTATTAGTTTGACCGATTTTTTTATTCCCCTGTTCTGAAGTCCTTGAAGCATCTGCTCACTGGCTCACAAAAGCAGTTTCACAAAACTACACTAAGCAACTAAATCTAAACTTAAGTTAAACTTTCATTAAGGTGCTACTGCCAAGCTTCTAGCTCTTTCTGATCTCACAAGCACTGACAAAAAGAAAATGGGCACAAATTAAAGCTATATCCTTAAGTACAACCACACAATAGGAAATTAATAGTTCAGTCTTTCCAAGGCCTCCTGGAGGTCAGAAACAACTTGATGTCTTGGTATAATGCATTTATTACCACTTATTCAAGTGCAGTATCAAAAAGCAACACCTTCTGAATATACAAATATAGCAGTGGCACAATTCTAAAACATTTTAAAACACAAGTTTGTAAGACTTTGTGCTATGTCTTGATAAACAAAAAGCACAGTCTTATGACTGACTATGATTTGACCCACAGTGTCAAAACTTTGGTTTTCTCTAGTGCAGAAGAAACACAAACACAGATGATCAACACAGATTCACTATAGAAACTACTACTCTTGTTCTACCCAAAGTTGACTTTTAAAAGCCCAAACATTAAGTCCTCACAATATGCACACTGCAACTGGCAATCACCTTTTTCTAGAAGGACTACTTACAGTCTGCAGCCTCAGCATGAAATATTTGCAAAGATCATCACATTCACATGCTGAAGAGTTTAACACTATCAGATCGTATCATCAAATAATCAACAACTGATACATCAAAGACGACAACAAATGTCTTTGTAGTGGACAGAAGACAATAGAAGAGGAGAAAAAAAATTCTTACCTGTTTTTTTTCTTTTTTTCTCTAAAATAATATATCCAGCAATCCGTTACTAATGGATAAAGTCTCTTCTCTCCAAAGATAAAGGAGCAGTTCAGGCTGTCACTTCAGGATCTCTGGACGGTAAGTCACACCAAATCAGCTTCCCACCAGATAATTATACAGATCTAGAGGGCTTCTAATAAATCAAACTCAACTACTATGCACAACTTTACAGCAGACTCTTAGTTTTTTCCCCAAAAACTTTTATCTGAAAATTCTGCATTAAATTTGCAATATGATAGGTTGGGTCCGGATTGGTGGATATGTTACTTCAAGAGAAAATAAGTCAACACGTAAGAAGTTTAATTTCTCCAGTGTACCCATACCCACCATTATTAATGGGCAACAGTGACCAGGGACTTTAAACAAGACATTGAAGTATCTAGCAATAATTTGTTTTTACTCAAGTTCAAAATAATCAAATGCCCTTTTAAAAAATATTCAATGTGAAATTTTTTCAACAAATTCAGTATTAATATTTTAGACATCTGGACAATCTCTACTATCTCATCATTTGAGCACTAAAGCAGAATATCTTTACATTTTTTATCTGCGTCTGCAGTGTTCTAGTGAATAGAGGATACGCTGCCGAAAGAATAGTCACTATGAATTCCAAATGACAACTGAATTTACTTGGTTTTGCTTTCCAGATTTCAACAATATGCTACTCTATTAAGAGTCACATTAAGTGAATTTACTCCGTAATGAGTTGTGAAGTCAGCTGGTAGAACGAGCACCAGGGTTCTGTTTTATTATTACTTCCCCCCCCCCCCCCCCCCTTTTTATTTATTTTCTTTTTAAGCAAAGAACAGAACCCTGAAATAAATTTCTGTACTGTCATTTGATGTTGCTGCTGGAAGCATTCACCCCGTGAGCAAACCCTGCATGACTGATCTTAAACATTAAGAGCACACCCACTAGATTCAGTGTGTGAAAGCAGCTGGTATCATACCCACACAGTCTTGTACTTATGGAGGATTGCTGTGAGCAATTATTTTGCTTAAAATCTTCCACACATTTGAGCTCATTTTCCCATTTGATCTTTCACTGTGCCTAACACTTTTTATTTATTCATCTACATTATATGCTAAGAGTTCTTTTGGTATGTCTACAAGTAACTTGCAATGCCTTCTACAGCAGCAAATAGTGGTTCAAAAGTTTAAGTACCAGTACAGTGCCATAGCACAATAACTATTCAACTATTTATTTAAAACAGTCAAGTTTAAGACAATTCCTCCTTAGCTTGCCAAAAAGTTACCAGCATCAATTTTCTAACTCAGACTGTTCCTCTAATTCCATCTGTATGTTCTGAAAGCCTAAAAGTTTAAGTTGTTGAACTTAAGACATGACCTCTACTATACAATGATATTCCTGATGTTCCACCCATTTTATAAAGAAGCAAAAATTACGCAAGTGTAGAGCTAAAGAATGTTTGTATTTCTCTTTCAACTCTAGATATAAAACAAAACACAAACGTGAACATACTAAAAGTCTTCAGAGAAATAAATACATGCTTGTATTAGACTAATGCCTACAACAACAAAAAGACTGAAGGAATTGCTTATAGAAGTCTGGTTCTAGCTAAGAGAAAAATTCCAGCAACACAAAAGCAAACAACTTCAGGTACTAAGAAGAGTAGTGCCTAACAACAGGCCATAGGCAGCCAGTTAAGTTCTGGTAGACCAGTCCTTCTGCTCCTCTTGACAAGAGTAACAAATTTGGGAACAGTGCTTGCCAAAAATATGATTAAAGAAGTATACAGCTTTGCAGAAATATCTGATTACACACTGAGAACTAGCTACAATGGTAAATGCCTCATTTAACTGACACACTTTTGCCTTGGAAGGAATCATGTTTACCCTGAGAGAGAATGTTTTCTAAACAACAAATCAGTGATGACTGCTTCAAAAATACAAATCCATCCAGTATCAAAAACTGGAGAGGAAATGAAACAGAAAAACAAAGAAATTCTAGGACTAGAGAGGAACTGAGGTCCAGAGATCTATCCTAAAGATCTAGAATATTATTTTTGCATTAGTTTAGCAGATGAGTAAGATGTAAAATATCTCCTACTTAGTGAATGTATATATGCTACTAGGAAGTTGTTCCATATTAAAAAAAAAATTGAGCTAATATAATCTCAAAAATAGGTATTTATAAGCAAATGTAACTTTCCCATGACATTGGCTACTGCAATATTCAGGTGTTCACACTAAACCACACGAACATAAACCACAGGAGGAACTTATGAAACAATCGCCTCTGTAATCTATAAAAGGGTTCATTTCAGTGACAAATGAACCACACAGTCAGATAGTTTATAAGCATACATGGACAGGGCAGGTAAAACCCACAAAGAACTCAAAATGGAAGCACAGCAGCTCATTCACAGCAGAACACAGCTTTTAAATCAAAGGACAGTGTTACAGGCACCACAAAAAGAGGGAATTAAACCCACAATGGGCAACTACATAAAATGAATTCATTTGCAGGCAAAAGGTAGGCAGGAAGGGGACGTATCCTTCAACTGAATAGACCTGCCAAAGGCAGCTTTATGCTTCAGTCAATTCCCAACTGCTTTCCAATTTAATATTTTTGTCCCTTCTTTGACCAGAGATGAAGGAACACAGCAACCTGCCATATATTTATTAATCTCCAATCTTCATTAAACAATTATAGCTTTCTCATATCTTTGCAAAAGTAAATTTTCTCTGCATTTTATCATCACCTCCCTAGATAACATCCTTTGCCTTTCTTAAAACCGTCCTGAACAGTTCTTCAGACAACAGCACCAAGCTGTCATTTGCACTACCTTCTAAGCAAAGTCCTCACAAATTCTGGCGTTTATTTATTAACAAAAGAGTGAATGACTTGGCATTTTTCACTGAGTCCTCTAAATTGATAATGATTCCTTCCTTTAAACTATAACTCCAGTGTAACCTTACAAAGCAACAGATTTTCTTTTTTTTTTTTTTTAATTAATTTAGGGTTTTTTTATTGAGATAATCAAGAACAAGGTCTTCAATACAACTCTAAAGTGAAAAACTCTGCTTCTGCTAGAAATCTGAGGAGTTAAGATTTACAAGAACAGCTAAATGCAAAAACATTTTGTTCTTGAACTGACATAAAGCAACAACTGATCCTGTTGAGTGTTATTTCTTAAGTGATTTTTTTATCAGACAGATTTCAAAAGCTTGAAAAAGTAAGAATTGAGGAAGAAATGAGACTAGATAACTAACAGGTTATCATAATCACATCACGTGAGCTCTGAGGACTATACTCATCATAAATGAATTGGGCAACAAAAGAGTTTTACTAAAATTCACACCACAATTATCTTCCATCCAAAGCTCCCAGGAACAGATTTGAAAATATGAAGATAAAATACAAACAGAAACACTGAAGACAATGGTAGGGAAAAAAAGGAAATGGCACACTTCGAGCCACAACAATAAACTACTGCAATCCTAGCCTACGCTTTATTCTTTCACCAAGTGTGACCAGGCAAAACTAGCTGGGGAAATAATCCACACTTAACACAAGATGTTTATTATGAGAACCAACTGTTTGAAATTGGAGGGCATTAGCTTTAAAGAGGCTAGCCAAAATATATATATATATATATATATTTAAAAAAAACAAACACTGGGATGTTAGTTTTACTCGCTGGGCTAGATAACTCTCCCAAGATTCAAGAAGCACTCTTTTTTCCTGACGTATGTTCTTCTCTTTTAAACTCAATACCTCTAAATTTAGTTTCTTTGATCTGTAACAAGCAAGTGTTGAAACGTAGAGGAAGACTTGTCTATAAGACAGAAACCTGCCATTGCACTCTAACGTACATCCTTAGTTCTAAAACAAGAAGAAAGAAGGTAAAAGTTTCCCCCAATTACTCATTTTCAAGTTGATTCAAGGATTTGCAATTATGATTAGGTCAGTTACTGGAACAATCATACTTGAAATCTTCTTTCAGAGATCTACGATCCTTACGCTATGATTCCAAGAGCATGCTAACTTAATTCCTTTGAACAAAGAAAACAATCAACTCAAGAACAGAATTTCCTTCCTGCCGTCCACTCTGAGAGAAATGTTCAGACTAAATTAAGCAGTTTGGAAGGGGAAAAAAATTAATAAATATATATATAATATCTTTTAAAAAAAAAAACGCTTTCACCTGCACTGAACTATTTTTACTCTCAAGGTTTTGAGCATAGTTTTTTGCTATAGCTACTATAAGAAGCTGTGCAGAAGCAGTAACTTCTTAAAGAGGTCACTGTAACAGAAAAGTATTTCTTAGTAATAAAACTGCCCTAAAATTAAAAAAAGTAGACGATGTTATACGAGAAGACAGAAAACAGAAGTGGAGAAGCAGTGACTAAAACTTGATGGGTTGGAGCAAGGAAGGGGAAGGGAGGTATAAAATGCTACCTAGATTTAATAAATAAAAAAACCACCCTCATTCAGTTTTCAAATCCTAGATGGAAGAACTTCAATCTGAAGTAGTGTGGGTGAGACTTACCATCAAGTGATCCAGGACTGACAGCTATGAACTGCCCCAACTGTATCCATAAGAGGATGAAGCAACTCATTAATAACGGATTGGTGGATATGGGAATGATAAACATTACTATACCTAGAAATGCAGGTACAGATTAGGGGGAAAAAGAAAGAGAAAGTTAGAAAATACTATGCAGGAAATACAGTCAGCTCAACGGTCCTGCATTCCTGACTTCCTTATTATTCTCAGAGAAGTTAGCCACACACAGACACTGATTGTTTCAACTGAATATTGTTAACAAAAACAGCTCATTCAAGCACAGAATGTGCACCATCAGGCATCATCCAAAGTGTTAAGCACAAGGCAAAGCATCTCACTGTTACACTGTAAACAGCTCAACTTGGAAAAGCACAAGAAACTGAATGAAAGCATTATTTTACTTCAGATTACCCTACCATTTTCAGGTTAAAAAGAACAGGGACAGAGCAGCAATAACAATATCTTCATCTGCGCTTCATAACAGAACAGAATCTTTGGGCACTATCATGTTAAAAGTGCAAGTTTACCTCACTCGGTAAGTTTTAACATGTCTTCCTCAAACAGCATTTTTCAGTTAATGCATTATGTAAGGAAAAATGAATAGGATTGTTCTTAAAATAAAGCATAATATACCTTGCTATGAACCTTACCTTGAAAGGTTTGTCCCCACTGTGTGTCAGCATATGTCTCTGCAACCAACTTTGACTTGTTGAAGGTGTATTATATACTTTGCAACCTTTCCACAAGCAAACAAACACCTGATAAAGTAAAAATGTGGTCAGATTACACAAGTCAAAGAAAACAGTAAAAAGAATTAGCAAAGAAGCCTGCTTCCACAATTCAAATTAGTTCAAAGAATTTTAAACCAACCAGTTATTCTGCAACATAATTCTCACCTCACCAAGGCAAAAACAACTGAAACCACAAGTATTCAAAAATAAAACATAAAAGCCAGGCGATCCTGCAGATAAACACAATTAAGAGCCACAGCTTGCATCTGCACTTTGTATCAGCGTCACCCAAGTACTGAGATATAAAATTTTGTATGATGAAATTTACATTTTCTGGATAGCAAAAATATAAATGATAAAATGATTTAATCTTATAAGCAAGAAATAACTTCATTCTTTAAGAAGGCAAAGTTGAAGTCTTAATTAAAACCCAGTTGTTTAAATATAAGTTTTATACTGTAGAATATTGGATAACCCTAGTTAAGGTTTTAAGTTCACTTCCTGATGAATAAAATTAAAATCTTCCATAGGATTTAAAATCTATGGGTGTTTAGCTATTTCCATGTACAGATTAGTCACACGCACAATAGTGCATTAAAGGGAGTAGAACTTACTCATGCTGCTTTTCTCTCTCTCCTCTCATTGTGTCTATCTATAACCTAGAGAATAAAAAAGCTCAATGAACTTGGCTTTCATCAGAAATTCCTCAACAAGTCTGTGTGTGAAGGGAGGTACAGCCCCAATTTTTAGCAGCAGAATACAGTCCCCAGGAATAGCATTGTCCAAAATACTTTCAGAATACCTTTCAGAACTGCAAGCAACTAATTGGATTTGAGTTTCTTGTTCTCTTTCAGAGATTAAAAAACTGAACCTTCAAAAGACTGTACTTTCAAAACAAAAGCATAGCCAGAGGAGTGCTATGTGCTTGCTATGTAACATACAGATACCCCAGCTTACGAATGCAAAGCTGGAAAACCTTGTATGCCTATGTGACTGATCAAGGTCTACTGACCCATGAGGCCTAACTTTCTGATGTTTTGGTGTCTGCTGCTTCTGAGCTTTAAGGTCTCCCTGTAGGCACTGGAATTTTCAGATTCCTGGAACTGAAACAGTTACTTCATTGTCCCAGTATCTCCATCATCAACTGCAGAGCATCCAGGAAGGAACTACTATGAAACAACAGGTTGTTGAAACGCAATCTCTGCAGAAAACATGCACTTGGTTTTACAGCAATGCACAAGAAACTCCAGCAAGGCCTTTTGGGAACATGTGTCCGAAGGCTGTATCCAAAATATTTCTAACAAAACATTTTAGGGAGGTAAAACTATTATTCCATTAGTGTATCCTGGGCATTCATGATTCTATATGGAGTGGAAGCGTTATCTTAGTATTAGCTTAGAAAAAAATATATACATTACAACCATAAAAGCAACGTGATAAGCATGCTTAAAAGTTCCCAGTAAGCATTTACTACTACTTTTCTTCAAGTTTATAGTCACTGAGCTGATTAAGTTTTGAAAACCAATGAAACCCCCAAGAACATGCACCACTTAACCGCCTCACCAGCAGATGGCGAACCAATCCTTGGAAGAAAACATCATTCTCCTGCCAGAGCATCCAGTGGAGAAACTTTACAACAAATAAATCAACTCCACCGGGGGGAATAAAACAAGTGCGAACTGAACACAGTAATCAGGCACACAGTGTTACCTACAGCTGTCTCTTTCAAAAAGATGAATACAGTGGCATTTTCTAAGTAAAAATATCCACAAATCACACCACACTGAACATAAACACACAAATACAGCATAGAACATTTTTCAGGATTTTCAATCTCTTCTTGAGCAATGAAAAGGGGTCACGGGTGGGACAAAGGTCATCAAAGATGCATTTACATGAAATTCCACAGGATACGGATACATCTCATCCACTTAATTGTTTCATCCAGGACACACGTAACACTTTTGTAAACCTACAAATAGAATTACAAAGTCTATCTTATGGGTGACTAAGAAGTTGGAACATCGGTCAGATGATTCTGCCTGGAGTTTGGACTGAAAAAAAGTCACTGAATATCAAGCTGAAAGTTCAGTCATAACAAATAACATTAGCTAAATGCAGCCAATGAGTCACAGCCACCACTGTGACCCAATTCAAGAAGTACAGAGTTAATATTACGCCACTTGGAGATTATTTAAAACCTTAAAATTGTGAGACCTACCAAAACCACATCACTTAACCACGTATTAAACTGAAATACGTACTTCAATTTAAAAAAAAATACTAGATGCAGTTACATTGAAGATGTAAGACCTGCCGTCAGTACAAACAGAACTGTTTTGCTAAGACTTGTACTCCCAAAACAACCCATCTTACTTCTGTCTTATATTTATCCATACATATTTTATTACTAACAGGACTCCCATTTGTAAAAATAATCAGGATGTGACTTAGCCTGAGTTAACATGCAGCAACACATACACTAGAAGTTCCAAGAAAATTAATTCCAAGTATTTCTATATAAACCAGCATTTCAGGCTGCTGAGAAGTTACTAAACCTATTAAAAATTCAATAGATTCAATTATTTTATTAAGAACATATTTTCTTAAAGCTACCCATTCAAACAAAACCATAGAATGGAAAAATAGAGCGAATTGTGTAGAACACAACAGCTCAATACCCAATGCCACATTGCTGAGGGCCTAACCTCAGTTGTCACTAGCTACAGAATAGATATTTTATAACATAAAATTACTACTGTCATTAAGAAGTACAATATCAGTAACTAAGGAAGAAAAGAAAGAACACAAACCCCTCCTCGCTGACCATCCACATGTATGGAGCGAATATGATCTGCCAAATCCGGGCTGGAGCTGAAGCAAGCGTGGCAGTGATCCCAGCAACAGTTATAAGCAATGCTTTTTGCAGAGGAGGCAGGACCTCCTTGTCCATTCATCATCACCGGAGTTGAACGTCCACTGGAAATTGTGCTGTCTACATCCATAATAGTGCTGCTTATGCTGTAAGAAGAAAGTTCGTGTTTGTTACAAACTTTGTTTGTTCCATTAACCTTTACGGCACTGCATCAGATTCATTTAGGTCAAAAAGGATATCTTACACGTTTATTTATTACGGTTCATCATCTTGAACAAAGCATTTAGTCAGAAAATAGCCACTATCACTGTACTGTATAACTTATAGACAGCAGCAACAAAAGAGAGGGCCGGAAAGTTCTTCCCCACTCAATAACTTGCCAGAAAATCTTGTGTGGTTGCAGCTACTTCCAAGCCACATCACTCACTCCTTATTTTTACTCAGGGGATGAGGGAAAAGCATGTGTGGTCAGACCAGAGATGTATCTACACCTATAACCACAAATGACCCTGAAGTTTTACAGGATGCTGAAGACTCCCACACTTAATTATTTGGTCTGGTAGTCTGCATGTCTATCAGATGTGTTGAGTAAATTAATGATTTGACCTTGTTTTGGGTTATTGGTTTGGCAGCTTTTTTTTTTTTTTCAGGGGATGTGGGGAAGGCTGGGGAAGTAGTGTGCAAACAAGTTAGCAGCAACTGTAGGAACATGGACAGCAGGGTCACTTTTTATCTGGTCTGTTATGTGTCATGACAAATACAGAGCCGAGAATGAAACTGGACCAGAAAAAAAAAAACCTGAAGTGTTCTTTCCATGTTAGAGGTAGACAGATGTTGCTTCTGGATAAAAATTAAATAGCTACAGACATGCCTTTTTTTAACCTAGTAAACAGACTCATTACCTTTTAGAACCCTTCATGTTTGTCTTCCATAAAGCCACAGAATTAGAGGACAGCTCATCTTTGAAAGGATCTCAGGGAGCTACTTAGTCAAATTTCCTGCTCAAATACAAGCAAGTAAGATTCCTCGTGGCCTTCTACAATTAACTTTTTAATGGGTATTTTCAAAGCCTGAAGTTTCTGCTACCTTTCTAAAATGTTTTTCCAAACATCTGATTAACACCACTGTGGAAAAAGTGAATAATTTCCTAACATCTCATCAGATTCCCTAGTGTTGCAACTTCAGTCTGTTGCCATCTTCTTCGCTTTACAGTTGACAACTCCAGCTTCTCCTTTGCTATACATTCCTTATCAGTAATAAAACAGCAATAACCCTCCCATTCTTATTCTAAAACTGAAGAAACCCAACCTCTCAGCCTCTCCATGCACAGCATTTACTTCAGCTTTCTAACCAGCTTGGGGGCACTCCACTGGATGCACTCCAGTACATCACTATCTTGGAGGCACCTGCTCAAATAGAGCAATCCAGATGCAGTTTCAAATGTTCCAGGTAAAGAGGAAGAACTACTTCTGTTGACCTAATAGATGTACCTTCTCTAGTACAGCCTAGTACGTGGCACTGATATTTACTTCAGCGTCTTTACATAAGTCCTTACTCAGTCTTCTGAGTAAAATGCAAGGAAAAAATAAAAATCAAATGGCATTACTTTAAAAGAAATGTTGTTCCACATTTCCGATGCCATACTCACTACCATTCTATAACATATTTTGACATGGATGAAACAAAAACTGCACCATTATTCAAAATTAGAAGATATTACCAGCACATCTGTTCTTTTGCTTTAAAATAATTTCACAGAATGGTCCAGGTTGGAAGGGACCTCAAGGATCATGTATCTCTAACCTCCCCCGCCACAGGCAGGGCTACCAACCTCCACATTTAATACTAGACCAGGCTGCCCAGGGCCCCATCCAACCTGGCCTAGGAAACTCATTTCATCATACCTCTTTTTTCCTTTAATCACTGCTGGCTAGCATCTTTTTCCCGATTTCAAAATTCTAATTTCCCTTATTTGTATTTTTCCCCTCCTCAACCACAGGCATTTCATCACGTTTGTCAATATCAAATGTCATGCTTTAGTTATAACAGACTCCCTGTAGAAAGCTTTCCAGTTAGAACATATCCTGAGCAATTCCTTTAGGAAAAAAAAAAAAAAGCAAAGTTCTTGAGACCTTGTCAACAGGTTTTTGTTTGTATAGAAGTCTATACAAACATGAATTTTTCTATACATACATGAATTTGCTAAATATTATATAAATACCACCTTCTATTTTTCAATTAAAAAAAAAAAAAAAGACCTAACCCCTTACGAGGCATGCCTTCTCCCCATGAAAGCCACACTGGTTTCTTTCTGCTACATGACATTTTTCCACATGCCCATTATTTATTTTGTTCCTTTTTCTATATCCTGAAAATGTACAGCTTTCCATGCCCCACATCTCACCCCATCTTCTTTCTTCTGTACACATAGTAACCTTGGTTCCTTTCATAACACAGGCTCACAGTGATAAAGCAAAAGTGGCCAACAGAAGCTTACAGATACAGTTTTGAACCTGTTCCATGTTTCTGTCTTTTCTCATAAGTCTAATTTATAATCACCAGAACGTTCCAAAAATTCAACTAGAGCTGACTTGAACCTACAGGCTCAACAATGCTAAGAGTCTCTAATTACAAAATACTAGTAACAGTTGTTAGCATCCCTCTAGGAAGATACCAAACTTTAAAGTATAAAGTACGTTGCAAGCAATCACATTTTCCCCCCAATGCCAGGTCTGTAATAGATGTACCAGGAGACTGACATTTCCACCTTCCTTATCTGCTATCTATGCCAAAAGTTATTCCTGAAAGTAAAATCTGTAAAATCAGGTTACGAAAGCAAAAACTACTGACAGCCTGCAGTATGCCCTTGTGGTTAAGACCACCAATGGTATCCTGGGGTGGATTAAAAAGAGCATGTCCAGCAGGTTGAGGGAGGTGATCCTCCTCCTTACTCTGTTCAAGCGTGGCCACATCTGGAGTACTGTGTTCAGTTCTGGGCTCCTCAGGTCAAGAAGACAGGGAACTTCTAGAGAGAGTCCAGTGGAGGACCACAGAGGTTATGAGGGGTCCGGAGCATGTCCTCAGGAGGAAAAGCTGCAAGACCTGGGGCTATATTCAGCCTGGAGATAGGCAGGAATGAAGTGCATGGGGCCAGGCTCTTTTTGAAGGTGCCCAACAACAGAACAAAGGGCAAGGGGCACAAACTGGAACACAGACAGTTCAATCAGAACATGAGGAAAAACTTCTTTACTGTGAGGGTGACAAGAGCACTCTAACAAGCTGCCCAGAGCAGTTGTGGAGTCTCCCCCTCTGGATACACTCAAAACCCATTTGGACACTGTCCTGTGCAACCTATGGTAGGGAAGTTGCTTTAGCAGAAGTGTTGTACTGGAAGATCTCCAGAGGTCCCTTCCAATCCCTATGACTCTGTGAAGAAAAATAAGGTTACTTAATAACATACCTTTCCTCCAATACATCCAAGTTCTGGAGTTATCCTAAAAATTTTCTCAAAATCAGCATTCAGAAATAGTTTTGAATGCGTATGAGATGGCACATAGCCTGACCAATTCTGAATATAGTACCGTGACACTGACCTGTGGTTCCAACAGGGAGTTGCTTAATTAAGGACAGCAAAGCACTACAGGTGCCCTATTAATGCAATAGCTTCTTCAGATCATTTCAAGCAGACAAATAACCCTAACTTTATCATGGTTGACAGGTACTAAAGTATGGAGTTTTATCCATGTTTTAAACAGGAGCTAAAGCTTCCAAGATTTGTACAGTCAAGTCCATTTTTCTATATCCACTGCAAGCATTAGGACCATTCTCAAAAACACTACACACAGGCATTGCCAAACACTTGTCTAAGAAGGGGTATGGACCTGATATCCAGGGCAGACCAACAACAATTATTCAGCATGGTTCTCTCAAAGGTTCACTGCTTCTAAAGCCTGGTCTGAAAGGTGAAAATAACAAGAAACACAACCCAGTACAAATTCTATGAAGGATAAAGTACGCACCATCTGCATACATGTGTTTGGTTGCACAAGCATGCAATCTGAAGAATTTCGCTAAACTGTAATACAAAAATTAATTGAGCAACCTACAGCATGAGACAGCTACTGATGTCGTAAGTGCAACACAACAAACACGGACTTGACAATACAAAACCACAGGTCTCTTCATTTTTACAGATCAGGAAATGCAAATTCAAGGGTTTCTTCCTTTTTTTTTTTTTTTAATCTTCAAAATGCTATTCTACTTGTAGAAAACTATCCTTACTTCTGAAGAAAAATACGCAAGAGCTGGAACTAGTGATACTGATCCAGCCAAAGGTACTATGATAAATAGGTGTGTTAATGACACAAGAAATCAGCAACACTTAGAAAGCTAATCTGATTGTAATAGTTAATGTTGCTTTGTTTAGCTCTAATAGCCTAAGTGCTTGCTAAAGGCTAACAGATTAGAATTACATCCCTGGAGGTATTTAAGACAGGTGTGGACATGACAGTAAGGGACATATTTTAGTGGTGGGACTTGCTAAATCAGGTTGACCATTGGACTTATTTTGAAGATCTTTCCCAACCTAGATTATTCAATGGCTGCTATCAAAATTAAGTATTAGAAGAAGCGGGACAAAAAGAAGGTTGCCCATAGCATTTCAAAACAAGTAGCATATAGAATTTCTTGGAAGTTTATCTTCAAGTGTTACATTGGACTACAGTTCTTCAGTGTGTGCAAGACAAAGTAAAAAGGAACTGAAATCCAGCTTGGTGATAGTAGGTCAGTACTTCATTTAACAGAAGTCATACCCTTCTTCTAGCTTGCATAATTAAGACATTAAAAGTATAGATGAATAGTGCTGTAACAGGGCCTAAACAGCTTAATTGCTTAAAAACAAAATCATCAGGGTCACACAATAAGGGATCATTTTCTGGTTGTTCTCTCAACAAGCTCCCATAAAAAGCAAGAAACACTGCTCTGACATGCCTTTTCTAAAAATAACCAAGTAAAAAAACCCTCAAATAGTCTTTTTATTTTGTACCTCCAAAAGCAATCAATTTTAGGTTATCAGCTGCCTAACAGTACTCCAATAATTTTAAAAAAAAAGAACTCAAACTTTTATTCCATCTCAGTGAGTTCTGGG